TAGAAGAACACTTGGAAAACTCTCCTAGTTGACCAGAAAAGAATTTCTCAAAATGTGGTCTGTGGAACTCTTGAAGTCCCCAGGAACTTTTCATGGAATCCATTGGGTCAAAACTATTTTCAAAATTTTATTTAGACATCATTTCTTTCTTCGTTATTTTGCCATTTGCACTTGTTAGAGGACCACAACCCAAAAGAGTGGGTTCTTTGCACTCTAGGGAAAGAATTCACCAGAGAGTGCTAGTGGTAGTTGAACCAGGCGAGGATTTATTAGACTCATGCATGAGGGAGCCAGTTTGGGAAAGCAGAATATGACCCAGTTCTCCTAAGGGATTTAGGAGGAGCTATTTAAAGGGTAAGTTCAGGTCCCTTCTGCAGCATGAGTTCAATCCCGGCCAGCAGGAATTTGATCCGGGCCCGCGGGTAAGATTCCCACATGGCGTGGCAGACCTCCTCTGTCGTGCACGCTGCTCCCCTCAGCAGTGTATTTCATCAGTCTGCCTGTTCTGTTCCCCCCTCTGTCTCTGGTGAATCCTGTCACCCTCCCGCGCATCTGGCCTGTACCCTGGTTCCTGTATGCATGAATAAATAAATCTTAAATTAAAAAAAAAATAAAGGGTAAGTTCCTGAAGTGGAAAGAAGGGAGCAGCTTCTGGGTTGGGCTCTGCCTAAGCCTGCGCACGTGGTCACAGTCCAGTTGCGTGGGCGCTCAGTTTCCTCCCTCCAGGAAATGAAGAGATAATCATTAGTGTCGCCTCAGGACGGGTGTTGCAGGATGAAAAAAATTACTGAGAGTCCATGTGCAGAGCAATGAGAAGCCTAGAGGGACCACACCACAAATGTGCCAGATCTAATTTTTATCTCCCAAGGTGCTTCACGTCAGTGTAGTGGGCCCAATTACTTGGCCAGGGCTGGCCAGTCCATGATTTAGTCCACCTCTTCAAATGGGACTGGGACAACTCATCCTACTGCCCCCAATTTCTTTTATCTTGGCCATCTCACACTGAGGTAAGGCTAGTAAGAATGGAGATTATTGTAATAACTGAGTAGTAGTGAAACAGATCCCCACGGCACAAGCCACAGGACAAAACAGGCTTCCCCCCCATAGCCTAAACGGCAGGTGTGCTGCTGTGTTAGGGCCTGTGGTCCCAGCATGTACACCTGGTACACAGCAAGGTGAGGGGCAGCCCAGAACCCCCAAACCTGCCCACTCTAAATAGGTTCTGCCATCCACTGCATCAAGACAAAACATACTCTAGTGCATAAGACCTCTAATAGAGAGGAACTTTAATACAATTAGTGAGCAATAAAGCGAAGAGAGGGGAAAAATAGATCATATAGTTTCCAAATCAAGCACCCAAAGTTACCCACCCCCTCATGGGTAAATGCCCAGTCAAACAAGGTTGGGCCAAAGCAGGACCACTGAGGCCTGAAACCTGCCACAAGTTTAAGGAACTTCTGGTGTGTCCCATAGGAAAAGGACAGAAGAAGCCCACCATGTCTGGGACAGAAGCTGCAAAATCAAAATCAAGATAAAAACTGCCATTGTTAACTGCCGCAGACCAGCTTTCGGCAAAATGTCGTGTCAGGAGTCCCTGAAAGGAGGAGTCGGCCTAGGTGAAGCAAAGGGGCTGAAGGGAAAGGGATGAGGTAGTGAGGAGACACTGACACTGGATGAGGTGCAAGTATCTTCTGCCGAGAGACTCAGCAGGTCTTTATTTATTCATTTTTAGCAAGCAGAGAAATTACATCATCATGTGCAAAGCAGAAACAATTAGTGTATTTTATTCCCATGGACTACTGGCTCCTACGGGTCTCAGCTACATGGTAGCCTTCAAGGTTAATAGATAAAAAACTAAGCCTTACACGAAAACTTATTATTTCTGTCTAGACAAATACCCAAGACAGTGGATAGCCGCCAGTACACCCCTATCAGCTAAAGTGTAAGCATTAAAAGACTCTTCTATTCATATGGCCTTCAGCCGGAGACCAGCTGCGTCTCAGCTATCAGAACTTTTTCTACCTAGAAACTCCTTATCACAATTAACTTCATCTAAAAAACTTTCCTAAGAAACTTCTAAAAAGCAAAAGAAGGACTTACTATAATTGTTGTGCTGGATTGCTTGTCAGGCATGTACAATAAATTGTCTCCCACTGTCAAGTGGGCCAAATTGTTTAATAACTAATTTCTAAACAGATCATTTTCCATGCCATTTGCCTGCAGTATACAGATACATATAATTTATTGCCTAATGTACTTTCTGAGAAATTTTTCTCTTCTTATGACCAAGAACAAAAAGCGAAGTGATGTTAAATCTTCAGCCCCACGGTGTGAGGCCCTTTATCTTAGCTGCTTGCCAGTGTCTTATCTGGCTGGGGCATCAAGGCCCCCTGCAGCAGTTCACCTCCCCACGGGCCTCTCACCCACATCTGCTTTAACCAGAACAAGATCGAGAAGCAAGTGCAGCTTCTTCACGTGTCTCTCTGCTCCATGTGCCTCCTTCTGGCTCCATCTTCCTTCCTTCTCCCCGTCTCTCTCCAGTTCCTCTTCCACACACTCAGCTTCACCCTTCCGTGGGTTGGGCAAGAGAACCTGGAACCTCTCCTTTTCTGGGGACCACCCTTTTATGTAGCTTGTGGTCAGCCAGCACAGGCAGCTCTGAAAGCAGCAGCAGAGAAGGGAGTTTCCCTGCCCACTGCCCACGTGTGCTGCCTGTGGACCAGCAGGCCCAGCCACTCACAGCAGAAGCAGCAGGTAGCCACAGTTCCCAGGTCCTGCCAACCCAGAATGAACAACGTGGGGTCTCTGGTACCAGAGGCAGCCCTGAGCCCTATGGCCTCTGGCCCAGGGGGACTTGGAGGAGCATTGGGCCCCACTGGGGCACTTCTGGTGCTGCTGATCCTTGGAGCTGCCAGCAGAGGGCCCCACAGAGTGCAGATCAATATGGCAGGCTCCCAGCAGAGCCCACTTTGCAGCCACCTCCTCTGACCCCCCTCATCCTCGCCCCCTCATCCCTTCCTGCTGCAGTTACACTGGCCCATCCAAGTGCCCTGGGTATGGTGCGCCTACGTCCCACTGTGCCCACTCCAGCCCAAAAGCCTGCCCTGACCTCTGTGCGGGCTCCAGGCTTTTCCCTTTTAAATCTGGTCTTCTCTGGCATTCTCAGTCTCCTGTCATCTCGTGGCCTCGCCTCACTGTGGTCCCCCAGTCTGTCTGGCGGTTGTGTCGCTGCCCTTACAGCCCCATCAGCACAGGTGCCTGTGCTGACATAAGAGCACCCTGTGCTCCTGGGCCCAGGTGTCCATAACCAATGGCGTGTGTGCCCCGCCCACACCCGTGGGCCCTGGTCATTCATGCAGGCGGGAGGGCATGAAAGGGCCTGGTGACTTCGTTTACCCTACACGTGGGATGTGGAATCATCTGAAAACTTTAAAGCAGCCCTTATGGAAATGCTCAAACCAGCAATTGCCAACAATGTCAGGGAGAGAAGAGAAGATATAAAAACGATATAAATGAAAATGTTAGAACTGAAGTACGGTAACATTGGTTGGCTGTATGAAAGTGCCGCTCCAGGGCAGGATGTTGAGAGCACGGAGGACTGTGAGGTTGGGGGCAGAGTGTTGGAGGCTCTATGCTTTCTCCTCAATTTTGTTATGAACCTAAAACTTGTATAAAATATAAAGGATATTGAAATATATATCAAGAAATGAGAAAACTAAAATTAAAAGGTCACTGAATGGGTTTGATAATAGAAAGATTATGGTAGATTTATTCACAAGCACCAAAAACTGGAAACAACCCAACATCCTTCAGTGTGTAAATGGATGAAAAATGCATACACACCATCCAAATACTACTCAATAGGAAATAGATAAAAACCTATTGATGCACTCAACAACCCAGATGAGGCTTAAAGGTGATATGCAGAGGGGAAAAAAAAGTCTGTCTCAAAAGGTTGCCTATTGCATGATTCCATGTGTATGACCTTCTTCCAGACAAAAGGGTAGCAACTGAAAATTGCTCAGTTCTTAAACTTTGTAGTGAAGGAGCGTGTGACAAAAGATTTAACAGAAGGGAATTGTTTTGGTTTCTCTGTAATTTTATTGTGTGGTGCATCTGTAAATCTATCCCAGGATGGACAACCAATAGTTTCTTCCCCGACACCTGCATTCCAGCAGCACCGCCATTCTTGCTCTCCCTGGACACTCCAGACATGGTCCCTCCCAGGACGCTTGCAATCACTCATCTTCTGTCTGGAACAATCCACACCCAGAGGTCCATACTCGTTGCCCCCTCACTAATCCCCCTTAAAGAAATTTGACCAATGCTCACTCAGAATATAAGTTTTTCACCTATATTTCATTATTAAAATAATGTCATGTGGTCTGTTACAGGTACACAGGGAACTGGGAAATGTGACTGAAAAAACATGGCATATTGGCTCCAATAAAATTAGCATCATTTAGTAAAAAAAAAAAAGAAGAGTGAATGGTTTTTACAAAAGGCAAACATTAGGGTCTGCCACTGTCCTCCAGGGGAGCAGAGACTGCCTGATTGTTCACTGGTTTCTCCCTGGCACCTACCGCCATGCCTGGCACAGCGTATCTTAAAAACTCTGGAATAAATTACTGTCATCTCACTGGTTCTCTGAAAAATAATAGACAAAACCCCTATTCAAAAGAGGACATTAAAATTCACATCTTTGTATTATTAATTAAAATAACTTTTGATGAAAGAGGTTTAGTCAAAAGAGATAAATTCCTTCGCCCACTAAGGTAACAGAAATGAGGGTTTTTCCAGATGAGGGAGTTGTGTTGGGGCAAGGGAGAATTCCCCCCTCCCCATCTGGGTTCTTCTAAAACTAAATGGATGAGCAAATTCACAACAGACAGATTCGTGGGCAAACAGACCAAAATTTAATAGCATGTGTGTGGAATATTACATGCTTATGAACTCTGAAGAATAATGGTGTGAGCCTGTGATGTTTACTCTGTGTTTAGGGCCCTGAGGCATCAGGAGAGCGGGGGAGAGACATCCCATGCTGGGCGGATGAGAAGGGGGTGACTCAGCTTCTCTCTGAGAGTAAAGGTGAGATTCTTGGGGGAGCAGACATGGTCACTGTACACGTGACCAGGATGGTTCCCTCCAAACTACTGACACATTCTTGTGGGCTATAAAAGGGGGAGCCGTGATTACTTCTTTTATCAGGAAAAGGAAAAGGACAAAAAGCTCCTAAGTCCTCATGACTCTTACTTTAAAATATTCTGCACTATTGAAGTGACAGTAGCAGCTTCCTTAGGCACAGGGTCTCCACGCTGGTGACATCCCTGGAGGAGACCCTCCCTGGGCGTGTGGGGAGAAGCCCACCCAACCCTTTTGGGGAGACAGGTCGGCAAAGTGGGGCTCCTGTAAGAGTGAAGAAATTGGGAGCAAGGTGTAAAAATAGAGGGAAGTTAAGCACGATGGTGACAGACAGGGCCCGAGAAGAGAAATGGCCGGGGAGAAAGTCCCTGTGACAGGAAGATGGATGACGATGCCCTAAAACCCGTGTTGCCAGTGAGTTGCTGCTTTTCTTGCACCATCAGCACCTTATGTTTCTTTTGATGACAGTGTGGGGAGAATGCTGGGGCGCAGAGGAAGAGTTTAACACAGGATGAAGAAATGTAGTTTCAGAAAAGAGAGCTGAGAGGAAATTGAGTATAGGAGAAACATGAGTTTAATGAAAATGACCATTAAACACAGAGCCCCGCCCTGTCCCTGACATGGGATACAGAAATATTGGTGGAAAAGAAGACTGCACAGATTCCCAACTGTACATAGCAGTTTAGCTAAAAATGAAAGGGTAGATGTATTAGAGTTGTCCAGACAAATAGTCCTGTAGATTGTGTGTGTGTGTGTGTGTGTGTGTGTAAATGATTTTTTTATAAGTATTACAAGGAATTGGCTGACATAATTACGGCAACTGACAACATACTTTGACTTAGGTTGTCCTTTTAGTCATTTCTCCTTTCAAGCTCTATGTTTACCTTCAGTCTCCAAATCAAATCCCACCTCTCTAGGAAGTTCTCTCTAACAGCTTCAGCTTCGATTCATTCCAGTGGCGCCCCAAAAAGGGAACAACAGAAAAGTTGTCAGAAGTGAAAGTGTCCTTTGTTTATTTTTTGTTCTTCCTTCTGTTTCCCTTTTTCGTTTGTTTCTGTCTCCTCATCTCATTACTTAAAAAAGAAAATCAGCACACACATCACTCTACATTGTCCTGTTTTATCACTATTGCTTTATAGATTCCCCAGCTACTTTACCAAGTAAAGGAGGGCAAAGAACACAGCTCACCTTTTTTTTCCTACGTCACCCACAGCACCTAGTAGAGTGTTGAATATTTAATGAACAGTATTTGCCTGAGTTACTTGTTTTAATAAATGTTCACAATAGTTTTAGAGCGGGTGTTTTACAGAAGCACAGAGAAATCAAGTGTCTAAAAACTAATATATCTATAAACTGGTTTTCTAAGTTAAAATATCTCATACAAAGTAGACAGAATTGCCAAATGCATTGTCAATATAATATTCTTTGTCATGTGAGAGAAAAATTCATATCAGGATATTTTCTAGCTGTGTTAATTTTAGACATCTTTATGATTTTATTGTCTTTCTAGACATACCCTTCAGCTATTTCGATCAATAAAAATTGTATTGGTAATACTAAAATATTTTAACAGGGAACTCCCTGGTGGTGCAAGGGGTTAAGACACAGCCTATGAAGCTGTCTGCAGCCACTGCAGCATGAGTTTGATCCCTGCCCAGTTTGAACCCTGCAGCAGACCTCTCCTGACTCACCCGCTGCTTCCCTCCACAGTTTATTTCCGTCAGTCTTCCTGTTCTGTTCCCCACTCTGTCTCTGGTGCATCATCTCACCCCCCACACCTCTGGCCTGTACCCCAGACCTTGTATGCATCAATAAATAAATCTTTAAAAAAATAAATAAAATAAAATATTTTAACACTGTTAGTGAATGTCATTCTTGTTGTAGTCACTGAAAATATGCCATGCAAATTTATGTTTCACCCAACAAAAATTTTTGAAAACAGATTGACATTCAAAAATCAACAAATGCTTCCTTCTCAGAGTATTGAAATTATTGACTACATTGGGAACAATAATAGAGCAAATTAAATTTGATTTTATTTCCAAGATTCGAAAGGGACTAGAATTAAACTACTTGAAGGATCACTGATTATTGAATCCTATGCATTCTGACAAGAAATCCTCTCATGCCAGAAAAAATATGCATACGAGTTTGACATTGAGACTTCAAGAGAGCAGAGATGACCTGGGTAATTCTATCAGCATCTCAGTATGTGAGCTGGAAACACTAAGTTTATAGCTCACAGGGACCCTTAGGTTGAAGGACTAAATCTCTCCAAGGGCAAAGTCAAAGAATATACTAAACATGAGGAGGGGTGGTTGCCGATGAGAGAAAATCTCCCACAAGTCATATTATTTTTGTATTATATGGGCCTTTTTAAGAGAAACTTGATTTGACATAAAGTTGGGAGCTCGGTATTGCAATGATTGAAAAGTTTCGCAGAGTTCAAAGGCAGGAATGCGCTGGAGTTCTGGAAGGAAGTGAAACTTGCAACTAAGCTGCCAGATTCTAGGAAATGCTCTTGGTCAAAATCTGCTTCTCCTTTTTGCATTTCCTCCTGTCTTCTTTCTCCCTGAAGTTTGCCTCTCTCTGGTCTTCACTTCACAAAGTGGGCTATAGTGGAAGGCCACATGAAGTGGCAAGATTTATTCTTGTACATAATGTTGAAATTCCTGGATGAGACCATAGTTGACCAGTTAGTTCATGTTGCCAGAACTTCAACAATTAACAGTGGCCATGGACCATCTTACCTGTCATCCATTTTACTGCCTGGAGACAGCTTCTGTGATTTTTCTTGTAACAGGATGCTTGAATATAATTTTGAAGTGCTCAGTTTTGAAATCTGCCCTAAATTTCCTTGTGGAAAGTGTCATAACTAAGTATACATAGTACACAAAATATGTCTAACATAACAAAAAAGAATTTGTTCCACCCTTACTCCCTTGTCTGCTCAACAGTCAAATTACATTTTTGATAGAGGATTGTAAAATGGGCAATTTCCACAGAAGAGTCATGAGTTTGCTAGATACTCTAGAAGTAGATGTTTATTAGATATACAATTTGGATATAGTTTGCAGTTAAAATTTATTCCTTTGGGAAATGAAATGTCATGAAAATGACATACAATGTCATGAGAATAAGCTGAAATGAAAACTAATATGGTCATATTACATTCGACAAAAATATTAAAATTGCAAGGAATCATAAAAAAGACAAACATGTGCTAAACAGTATTAAGTAAAAAGGCATTATACAAATTTTATGATATCATTTGTAGAAGCTTGAAAACATCATCTCAATTTCAGTGAGTCCTGGGTTGTATGATAATGGACAATTACTGTGTACTTTTTCATTAATACTGGAACTGTTATTAATGACTACTGCTATTTTAATAATTTTAAAAGTTTTTTTTAATAAAGAGAAGGTGCTATCCCTGTAGTGGGAATAGCACTAGAACAGGGGAACAATGTCTTTATTGCTGACACGAATCAATAGTGATACATTACTAATGTGTCACTAGAAAAGGGTAAGAGCAGAGTGTGGTGCTGGATGAGAGCAATGCTGAAGAATATTCAGGCTCCTTTTAAATAAACTTTCCAGTTGAATATCCGATTATTCCCGTACCTTTCATTGAAAAGGTTTTCCTTAACCCCAATGCATTACTTTGCTGTGTTTGTTAAAAATCAAGTGATTTCCCAAGTGTATCTATTTCCAGACACTTAATCTGTTCTGTTGATGCCTGTCAGGACTTAGGCCAGGATCACACTGTCCTGATTAATGCAGCTTTAGTAAATTTTGAATTCAGGTACTGTAAATTTTGCAATTTGTTCTTTTTTAAAAGGAAAAGGTATATATGTGCATTCATTTGTGTTTTCTGCAGCCAACCTCAGAGAGGAAATGTTCGGAGGCTTTGCAAGTAGCTGAGTGACTGAAACTGTTCCCGGTTTTGCTGCTGTCACAGCCTGGCAGGGAAGGCGAGACCTGGACCCGGGCGCCTCTCTAAGCTTTGATTGTGGCCATTCATCAGGTCTTTCGGCCGCTGCAGCAGCTGTTTTGAGTGTCACTTGTCTGGTGCTGTGCTGGGGCATCTCGGCAGCTCCGTTGAGCATCTCCTGTTGTGTCTTCTGCTGTCTTCGTGAGTTGGATCCCGGCCTATAGTCTGGCAGCCACGTGCTCCAGGCCCTCAGTGGCAGGAAGACGCTAATTGGGAACATTTGTGTTTAGGACTTTACAACACTGGACACTGCTTCATGTGAGGTAAACGGCCATTTGTGGTCTCAGGAACTCTTTGTTTTTCCCTGGTTTTTAAATACACCCCATTATTGTTGTCCTCTGAGGCTGAGTGGTCTTGTAATTGTGTGCACGAGGGAAGAACTCAGACTGGTAAACTATTTGGGCACTGTCCTTGGCCAGCTTTAGTGCCTCTTTTGCCCCGTATCATCTTTATTTTGCTCTTTTCCTTTCAGTCTTGCCTGGCCACTTCTGCCCCTCTCCTATGGGTCTCCACCAGAAGGTGCCTTAATCTTGTTGTAAGCTCTCAGGCCTCAGCGGTCCTGCTCTGGGCCAACCCTGTTTGGCTGGACATTTACACCCAATGGAATGGTAACGTTGGGTGTTTCATTTAGAAACTACTTTAACTATAGTCTTTCTATTCTCTTTATTGCACACTAAGTGTACTGAAGTCCTCTTCTATTGAAGACCTTATGCATTAGAGTAAATTAAATAAAGAAATTAATTAATGAATTAATTAAATAAATCCCAGTTCCAGGTCTTTACCTTCCCTTCCAGGCTCTAACAGCAGCAAAGATGGGAACAGGTGAAGAAGCTGTGATTGCTTCTCAACCTTGGACATGTGCCAGAGACTTGGGGGGACATGGAAGGAGACACTGGAAACAGACATGGGTGAGAGACCTGTGGGGAGATTACAGTGGCAACATTTATCTTGATTTTGATTTTGTTCTTTTCCTTCCAGACTTGTCTGGCTCTTTCTGCCCCTTTCCTATGGGTCCCCACCAGAAGGTACCTTACTTTTGACAGGTTTTGGGGCTCAGTGTCCCTGTTTTGGATCAAACTGTTTGGTTGAGGTGACCCATAAGGGGATGGGTAAATTAGGGTGCTTGATTGGGAAACATATTCTCTACTCTCTCCCTTCATTCTCTTTCTTACACAGTGATTGTATTAAAGTTCCTTCCCATTTAATGTCTCATGTACTAGAGTATGTTTTGTTTTCATGTGGCTGATGGCAGAACCCATTTAGCGTGGGCAGGTTTGGGAGTCCTGGGTCCCTCACCCTGCCTGGTAACAGAACCTCCCTTTACTATGGATATCACACTGTTACAGTCCTGCCCGTAGGCAAAAAAAAAAAAAAAAAAAAGGAAGGTTTCCCAAAATATCCAAAATACACCTTTCATATGGTCAAGTATTCCATTCCTTGGTATATATCCAAAGGTAAAAGCACTAATTCCAAAGGATATGCGCCTCCTGTGCTCACTGCAGCCTGTGCACAATAACCAACTATGGAAACACCTCAGTGCCCAATGACAGATGAGTGGGTTAAGAAGAGGTGGTAGACAGACACAATGAAATACTACTCAGCTGTGAAAAGTTATATTTGCAGCAACATTGACAGATGTGGAGGGGATTATGCTAAGTGAAATAAGTTAGAATGAGAAAGTCAACTACTGAGTGATGTCACTCATTAGTGGAATATAACGTAACCAAGCAGGGATAGATGAGACTAAACCAAAACATACTCTAGAAATATGAGGCTATGTGGGAGGGGAGGGAGAGGGTGTGATGTAGGAAACAAAGTGGGAAGAGGGCCCAGTGACGGTGGTGAGGACTATGGGTGCCCTTAGGTGGGTGTGAAGTGGTAACAAACACCTGAAGAGGTGTGACCCTGTGCCTCTGCACACATACAGTATGTAAACCCATGTTACCTCAGTAGAAATAATACAATCATGGCTGGGGGGAGAAACTATCTTGAGCAAAAGAAAAATTGTCTTTTCCATCCATCACTGACCTGAGGACTTTGCCTTCGCCTCCTCACTGTCATGCACGCTGAGGGGCTGGTTTCCCACAAGGGCAGAGGCTGGAGGTGCAGGGACTCCTGGGGCTGCTCACAGACTGCTGAGTAGAGACACTGCAGAGAGGGCGGCTCTTGAGGGGAACCAGAGACAGAGAGTCAGAGTAACCCCCACTGCTGAATGAGGGTCTGGTTCCCTAGGGGAGGGAAGTATGTGTGTGTGTGTGTGTGTGTGTGTGTGTGTGTGTGTGTGTGTAACAGGAGAGACAGGGCACACAACACAAGAAAATGGGGGAGAATTATACATCAAGTCCCAGCATAAATAAATTCAAATCTCACAGAGAAGGAGAATGTCAGCAAAACATCTCAATAAGTACAGTTCCATGAAGAAGCTGTCTTTGAGCAGGATGTGAAGAAGCACTGGGTCTCAGAATAGAAGAAAGTTTAGAAATATGTTGTGGTTGGACTGAGCTGAAGGAGCTGGGTAGGACCCCCTTGAGGCCCCTGCTAGGATGTGGTTGCACCTGACAGCTCCCTCCCCCTGACCACAATGTTCACTTCAAGTTCTTCTTCTTTGGGGTCACTGTAGAAAGCACACAGGCCTCAGAGTCAGGGAGCTCCAGCATGGCACCCCCTCTGTTTTCCAGGGGGGTCACTGCCTCCATGGGCTGCAGCTACTTTCTCTCTAGACCAGAGCTGGAGGGAGTCCCACAGCGGGAGGGCGAAATCTGTGTCCTGCTGGCCTGGCCCAGGGGCAGGATTAGCCCAGGTCACCCCAATTACTGAGCTGAGCCTCTGTCTACAGTACAGGATGGGAGGGAGAGATGGGGCAGGGTCCATCAGCTCTTGGAAGATGTAATGTTACTCCAGGGTAACACTCCATGTGCAGCAGGGAAAGGATCTCAGATAAACCCAGGCTGGTTTCCCCACCTCCCTTCCCACTATAATGTCAGGATGAATCTCCTTGTATTCATGGCCACACTGGAGGGGAGCATAGACAGACAAGCATTGTTACTGTGTTTGTTACCAGGATTGGAGGTCAGAATTTTTTTTTTTACTGTAAAAGTTCTTTTACTTTTATTTTTTAAATTAATTTATTTATATATATTTTACATCATTGTTCCTTTTTAAACAATGTTTGTTTGTTTTTTCCTCCTCAGGTGTAGTCCCCATAGAAGTTCCTCCACCAGTGCAACCATGCACCATCCCCACAGCTCCCTGTGCGCCTCTCTCCCTTAGGCTCCCCTGAAGGATGTCTCTGGTTTATAATTGTGTTTTGTTTTGTTTTTTGTTTTGCTTTGTTATGTTTTGTACTGTTATTATTTTTCCCCTACGTCTTATTTGTTTCCCCTATATTCCTCCTATATGTGAAGCCATCTGTTCTTTTTCTTTTCCTTCTGACTTATTCACTGAGCATAATTCCTTCTAGCTCCTTCCACGTTGCTGCAAATCGGATGAGTTTGTCTTTTTTCATCACTTAGTAATATTCTATTGTCTAAATATACCAAAACCTTTTGACTCATTTGTTGATTTGGGGGTATTGGGTTTGTTTCCATATCTTGGCTACTGTAAATATTGCTGAAATAAACATAGCAGTACAGTTTTCCTTTTGAATTAGTGTTTTTATGTCCTTTGGGTAGATTCCTAGGAATGGAATTGCTGGATCATTAGGTAGATCCATTTGTAGTAATTTGAGGGTCCTCCACACAGCTCTGAATAATGGTTGGGCCAGTTTGCATTCCCACCAGCCATGCAGGAGAGTTCTTTTTCTCCACATCCTCTCCAACATTTGTTGTTTCTGTTTTTTTCATTTTTAATGTGGGCATTCTCATGGGACTGAAGTGTACCCCATCTTCTTGATCCATTCAAGATCCCCTGATTTAAAATACAATGAGAAAATACTTCACACCTGTGAGAATGGCCCATATCAAAAAAAAAACAGACCTAACAAGAGCTGGTAGGACATGGAGATAAGGGACGGTCCTGCACTGATTTGGGGAATATAGACTGGTTCATCCCTGTTGGAAAACAATGTCCAGTTTTCTTAGAAAATTAACTGAGCATCTGCCGTAGGACCCAGCAGTCCCATTCCAAGGTATCTACCCTGCCTCAGACGCCCATGAGAAGTTCTCAGCTATGAATTGGATTCGAAGTCTAAATGAATTAGCAGCAGGGGGAGGCTGGAGAGAAGCCTCTAGAGCAGCTCTGCCTCTCACTCTCCCAGCCCAAGCTCTTATTAAAGATATGAACAAAGGGATAAGGAAACAGCGCACAATTGTGTTTATACTTATACACTGAATAAGTTACTGCTGGAACAAGTTTTTCTAGTTAGTAGGGATCATGCACACAAGTCAGCATGTCCTCAGGGAACAGGATTTAATTTGGGGAAGAAGTTCTGCTTGCAGAACTTCTAACCTCCTGGAACCTCCTGTGCAGAGTAAGCAGGTGCTCTCAGAGACTCCGGCTCCCTTTAGGGCGGCAGGCACCAGCATACCTTCAGAGGATGTTACACTACTTCACAGGAAAACTGCACCCCCCTGATCACTGCAGCACTATTTACAGTAGCCAAGCTGTGGAAGGGGTGGTACATAGATAATAGAATACTACTCATCAAGAAACATAAACTCATGCCATCTAAGGCAACACGGATGGAGCTAATTGAAATAAGCCTAATGGAGAAAGACAAATGTATCACTTAGATGTGGATATACAGAAATTAAACAAAGGGCTAGATTAAGCCAAACTTAAAAGCTATCCCTTGAGTCTCCCAGGTGGTGCCTGACTGCTGACTGGGTCTGCAGACCAGCCAGGCTTCTTGGCCCACCAGTGCTGGGTGGACTGACCCTCTGTAGTTTGGCATCAAACTCATTTGACGACAAAGCCTGACTCCCGCTGACTAAGTCCCCGATAGTGTTTTGTTGCACCTGTACCACCACTGGGTCCCCAGCCTCTGCTGTTTGCTGGGTCTGAGATGGATCTTGTACCTGATGCTGCAGGGTATTCTTTTTTTTTTGTTTTTTTAAGATTTATTTTTTTATTTATTTATGCATATCAGAACTGGGGTGTAGGCCAGAGGTGCAGAGGGTGAGAGGATTCACCAGAGACAGTGTGGGGAGCCAAACAGGCCAATTCACTGAAACCACTGCTGAGGGGAGCGGTGGGTGAGACAGACGAGGTCTGCTGCGCCATGTGGGTAGCTCCCTGGCAGGGGGTCAAACTCAGTTCCACACAGTGATAACACTGATACTTAACCCTGATGCCATCAGAGAGGCCTTGTTTTTAATTTATTTTTTACATCTTTGATATTATTTAAAATAATAGAAGGGGACCAGTTTGTGCTCCTGCTTCTCTGCTTTCATAATATACACACTCCATCCTGCCAGCACAGGGCTCAGGTTGGGTTTACACGTGTGTTTGTCACGTTTGCTCAGTGTCCATCTCTCCTGACAGTGCAAGCTCCACATCTCCAGGGTCCTCTGTCTGCTCTCCATTGTATCTGCAGGGGAGGCAGCTTGGGGAGGCAGGAGCCAGCCAGGGAGAGGGATGCTGGGAAGTGATGAAGAGAACACTTGGGAGATGCTCCCTGGTTCCCTCAGAAAAGCATTTCTCAAAGTGTGGTTGTGGAATCATTGAAGTCACCCAGAACTTGTCACAAGGTCCATGAGGTTAAAACTATTTTCAAAATGTCACTTAGACACCATTTGTCTTTTCACTATTCTGACATCTGCTGAGGTAAAACTTAGTAAAAATGGAGCTTATAGTACTAACTGCAGTAGTAGTTAATATTCACCACTTCTTACCTCAGAAGCACAATTCCAAGCCAGTTTCATTTCAAAGTGTCTTGGCTGAAACACTGAAAATTATCTTCATTATTTTATAATCCTCAAATCCACATTTTACAGCACCTGATATGATGACATGCAAGTGCACATGCACACAGAGCACTTCTGCTGCGTTCCCAACTACCACGTGCCAAGGAACATATTTGCATGAGATGAATTAGACTGTTTTTCTTTTTTCGTAGGCAATACCACCTTCACATGAACGAATGAATGACAAAAACTGTGGCTATTTGATTTGGTTAATGAGCAGACATTGTCCTGAAAATGAGTGTGTGCTCCTTTAAGAAAATCAACTGACAATTGATAACTGACAGTAACTTTGCCTTGACAAAATGTAAGCGCTCAGAAAAAACACAGAATATGGAAAATTGTGTCCTATCACTAACTTGACAATTTCCAGTACTACTTTTACTTTTGGGATTTGTGGTGAAAAATAAAATGAATTTTTTAAAATAATTTTATTCCAGTGTAATGAACACTGAAGAGCTTTTTAACTTAGTGAAACAATACATTACTTAAAAAATTCACACATTAGGGCCTCCCCTGGTGGCGCAGCAGTTGAGCGCTGGGCTGCAGAGCTGCCCACAGCCTCTGCAGTGCCAGTTCAATCCCTGGCCGCCAGCGAGGGTCCCCAATGGTGCACAGACCTCTCCGGCCGCGCCTGCTGCTCCCCTCAGCAGTGTATTTCATCAGTCTGCCAATTCTGTTCCCTGCTATGGCTCTGGTGAATTATCTCACCTTCCCACGCTTCTGACTGTACCTAGTGCTTATATAAATAAATAAATAAATCTTTAAAAAAAATCACACATTAGCACAAGACCCCATTAATATGCAAGAGAGGACTATGGAAATGTAACAGAATAAGAAATATTCAGTGATATTGTTTCAGGTTGGACTTCGCAAGTAACCTTTGAGAAAATACCACCTATATAGTTTTAATTTAGTATCGAAGTGGAATATTCATATTATGTGAATACTACTCCAACATACTTGTGTGAGGGCTGTATACATTTTTCATAGACTTCAACCAGAACCACAGACTAAATGCAGAAGGAGGGCCTCCCTGGTGACTCCAGGGGTTAAGCACCACGCTGTGAAGCAATCCGCAGCTTCTGCAGCACAGAGTCCCATCCCAGGCCAGCCAGGGAGCAACCAACATGGCTCAGCAGACCTCTCCTGACTTTCCTGCTGCTCCCCTTGGCAGTATATTTCAGTCAGTCCACCTGTTCTGTTCCCCGCTCTGTCTCTGGTGAATCCTCTCATGCCCTGCATCTCTGCCATGTACCCCAGCTCTTGTATGCATAAATAAAAATAAAATCTTAAAAAAAAATAAATGCAGAAGGGAACATGAAAATCCTACTGTCTTCTAATGAGACAGACAAGAAAGACAATTGCAAAAATAAAAAATGTAAAATATCCACTCTTCTTATTGCCATGATTATTTTCAGAAATAAGTTACTTTTCTTAAGAACACTTTCTATAAACACGTATTGGATTATTACTATTATTCTAAATGAAATAGCTACACGATTAAACTCAGCTTTATTCCCAGTGTGGTAAATATGGGGAGCGATACCTCCTAAACAAGATTATACTTGGCGTCCTCCCTAATTTGTCAGACTGGACACGGATCCGGGAAGGAAAATGACTGAGAATCGCAGACCCAGTGCTTGGGTCATGGAGACAGGGTGAGGAAGCTTTGGGTGAGGACAGGAGGGGCCAGAGCAAAGCCCCAGGTCCCTAGTCTGGTTCTCATAGTTCCAGGCCCCAGGGCTGTGTCCAGGGCAGGAAGGTTACTGTTGGGGATACCCCACTACCCCCTTAGCCTCCCTTCTGTCTCCACCACCTGTGCTGGGCCCTGGACACTTGTGACTCCTCCCCAGTTCTCAGTTCCAGTGCCTGGAGGTTCCCAGAGAACCAGTCAGCATCACTGCCTGCCCAGGTAAGTCTCTGTCCACCAGCCTGGAGTCAGAAGCTCCCCAGACCCCAGCAGTGCTGGTCATGGGGCCCCCAACCCTCCTCCTGCTGCTTCTCTCCAGGACTCTGGCCCAGACAGACACCTGGGCTGGTGAGTGCAGGGTGGAGGGAAAAGGCTTCTGCAGAGGAAGCTGCCTTAGGCCCCTCTGTCACCCCCGTGGCGCCCCTCAGTCCTAGTCCCTTTCTGTCCCCCCACCCTGCCTCCTCCTTTTGTCCCCTGAGTCTTGCCCCTCTGGACCCGCTGGCCCATGTTCAGTCTCTGGAGCTCCCTCCCTCCTGGACACTTTCTCCCCTGCCCCATCTCCCTGGGACTCAGGACCTGCCCCGGAGGAGGGTCCGCCGGCTTTCACCCCTCCCCGCCCCCAGGCTCCCCCTCTCTGAGGGTGTTAGAAATGGTGATGTCCCGCCCGGCCTCGGGGAGCCCCGGTGCATCGCGGGGGCTACGTGGACGACACGCAGTTCGGGGTTCGACAGCGACTCCCCGGGCCAGAGCGCGGAGCCGCGGGCCCTGGGCGGGCGGGCGGGCGGGAGGGTCGGGCGAGGAGACGCGGCTCCGCAGACACTCGGCGCGGAGGCTCCAAGCGCTCCTGGAGGCCCCGCGCGGCCGCCGCAGCCAGAGCCGGGCCGGGGAGCAGCGCGGGCCGGGGCGGGTCACCGCTCCCCCCCACCCCCCGCCGAGTCTCGGGGCCCCGTGACCCCCGAGGCCGTGGCCCCTGCCAGGCCCCTGACCAGGAAGAGCCCGCGGGACTTTCACCTTTAGGTTTATTTAAGTTTGGGATTATTCAGGGCGGGAGATCGGGTGCGGGCGGAGACCACGGGGTGACTGCAGGGCGGGCTCAGGGTCTCCCACGATCCAGAGGACTCTGGGCTGCGCCGCGGGGCCCGACGGCGCCTCCCCCGCGGGCACGACCAGCTCCCCACGACGGCGCCGGGGACGCGCCCTGGGCGGGGACCTGCGCGCCTGGACCCGGCGGGCCCGCGGCTCAGCTCCCCGGCGCGAGGGGGAGGGGGAAGGTCGGGCAGAGCAGGACGGGAGCAGCTGGGGGGCGGGTGCGTGGAGGGGCCCCCAGACTCCTGGGGATGGGGAAGGAGGCGCCGCAGCTCAGAGGTGAGAGGGCTGCGGGGCTTTGATCTCCCTGAGGCGCGCACCCCGCAGGGAAATGGAATCAGGGTGAGAAAGCGCCCCCTTCTGGCCAGAGAGGGAGCTGTCGGCCACGTTTTCCAGCTCTGGGATGGAGACTGGCCAGGAGGCTCCTACTTTTTCTGTAGGACAGTTAAGGAATCCAGTTTCTCCTGAGAAAGAGGGGAGACCACCCTGAAATCACCCTTCACAGGATCCTTTTGACCGGCAGCCATCATAGGAACAATGAGTTTCTCTGTCGAGATCTTGTTTTTTGGTCTGAGAGCATTTTTGGAGATCTCACTCCTGCCTGTCTGTGTCATCACCCTCCACCCAAGTCAGCAACAAAATGCTTAGAGACCTGTATCCCACCCAGGGCTCTCACCTGCTATCCCGGACTCCCAGACCAGGCTGGTTTCTGGGGTTTGTGCCCCTCCCTCCATATTCACCGTTCTGTCCACTGCAGGATGGTCACATGAGGCTGCTTCAGTGTCCATGGAGGAAACACAAAGCACGAAATTTCTGATTCTTCCCACTCAGGCCCCCAGTCGCCATATGTGACCCATCACCCCATCTCTGGGCATGAGGTCAACCTGAGGTGCTGCGCCCTGGGTTTCTACCCTGCGGACATCACCCTGGCCTGGCAGAGAGATGAAGAGGACATGCCCCAGGAAATGGAGCTTGTGAACATCAGGCCAGGGAGGGGGATGGAAACTACCAGAAGTGGGCAGCTGTGGAGGTGTCTTCTGGAGAGAAGCAGAGATACACATGCCATGTGCAGCATGAGGGGCTGATTGCACCCCAGTCCTGAGATGGAGTAAGGAGGGAGATGTGGGCACACGGCTGACTCAGGGGCATCAGAAGGATGCCCTTCTCCCTTCTGGAGACCTTCAGAGGGTCAGACTGAGGCCTCAGGTTCAGGGTCTGACCTTCTCTTCCCTTTCAGTTTCCCCTCCTCAGTTCTCCATCCTTGCTGTCGTCCTCATTTCTGGCTTGGTTCTCTTTGTCGGTGTGCTCATTGGACACAAGGTGGCTTCATGTATGAGGGGGTAAAAGAAGTGCTCAGGTAGGGAAGGGAGTGGGGAGATCTTGTCCACTGGGGGCTTTCATGTCCCAGGGAGAACTTGCCCTGCCTGGTTAATGGGAAGTACCATCCACACACGTGTGTTGCCCAGAGGGTATTTGGTTCAATCCCCTCTCATCTCCTTTCTTCATTTTTCCCAGTCCTGACCTGGGTCTTTACTCACAGTTCTGGAAACTTCCCTGTGGTGCAGGATTAGATGATTCCTTTAGGCTTCTGACCTGACTCCTTCCTGGTCTCTCATGATACTTCTTCCCACAGGAGGACAAGGAGGAGCTACACTCAGGCTGCAAGTAAGTGTGTTCAAGGGTTGGATCCTTGAGCCCCTGGGGACAGTGTAGATGGAGCCCATGGGGGAGTCACTCTCATCAGTTCCTTCTGTGGTCTCATCTCTGACCAAGTTTTGATGTGTTCTCCCCCAGCAGCCACAGTCCCAGTGCTCTGAAGTGTATCTCAGACCTTAAAGGTGAGACCCTCGAAGACTGCTGGGGGGCTGGGGTTTGTGGCACAGTGGCTGGGACAAGATTATGGGGATGCTTTCAGGAGGACATCCTGAGAATGCAATGGACCATTGATATTGTTAACACTGAGGTAATTCACCTGAATTTCTTCATCATTATTTTCTTTCAGGGTATTAGACAGCCTTCCGTGGGCCTGAGTGTTACAGGATTTCTTTTCGCCCATATTGTGTGGCTTTATGATCCCTGGTTTAAACCTTCACACCTGCAAGAATGGCCCATATCCAAAAGACCAGAAACAACAAGTGCTGGCAAGGATGAAAAAAGGGGACAGTCGTGCACTGTTTTGGATAAAGACGGAGCCAGCCCTTATGGAACAGTACGGAGGTTTCTTAAAGAGTGAATGTGGTTCTGCCATTGGACCCAGCAATTCTACACTGAGGATCTACTCACAGAGGATAATACTCTCCTGTGAAGGGACCTGCACTCCCGTCACCACTGCAGCACTATTTACAGTAGCCAAGCTATGGACACCACCTGAATGCCCCAGACAGGTGGGAAATTAAGAAGAAGCTGGCATTACACATGTACATATATGTACATATACAGATGACTCCAAAGGAGATGAACATTGGGGTTGGGGGAGGGAGCTGTCAGGGGTGAAGATGCCACCACATCCTAGCAGGGGCCAGGGTGGGGGAGGGATCCTGCCCAGCTCTTTACATCTCAAGGCAACCATGAGATATTCTAAACCTCCTCCTCTTCTTCAGGTCCAGTGCTTTTTTAGCCCTGCTCAGAAGCTGCTTCTGCATGGACCTGTATTTACAGAGGTGTTGTTCTGACACACTTTACTCTGTGTGCGATTTGAATTTATTTATTCTGGGGCTGGATGTTATTTGTTTTCCCATCATCTTATCCTGCCATTCTCTTACACACACACACACACACACATACATACTCCCCTCTCCTTGGGAACCAGACCCTCACTCAGCACTGAGGTTACTCTGACCCTGTCTCTGGTTCCCCTCACAGCCGCCCTCTCTGTAGTGTCTCTACTCAGCAGTGTTTGAGCAGCCCCAGGAGTCCCTGCACCTCCTGCCTCTGACCTTGAGGGAAACCAGCCCCTCAGCCTGCTTGACAGTGAGGAGGTAAAGGCAAAGTCCTGAGGTCAGTGACTGATGGAGGAGACAATTTCTTTTTACCTTCACTGTATTATTCAATTGAGTTAGCATTGGTTTACAACACTGCATGTGTTGAGGCGAGGTCACACCTCTTCAGATGTTTGTTACCACATCACACCCACACTAACGGCACCCACAGTCTTAACCATAGTCCATTGGGCCCTCTTCCTACTTGTTTCCTACTCTTACCCCCAGCCCATAACTTCCATTCTGCAGTCATATATGTTTTGGTTTAGTTTCATCTGTCCCTGCTTTGTTTCTTTATATTACAAATATGAAATCATCCAGTACTTAACTTTCCCCTTCAAACTTATTTCATTTACCATCCTTCCATTATCTATCCATGTTGTTGCAAATCCATTATTTCATCTTTTTCACAGCCGAGTAGTATTCCATTGTGTATATAGCTTGTGTTTTATCCCCTCATTTGCCGTTGGGCACTAAGGTTGTCTTCATCGCTTGGTTATGGTAGACAGCAGCACTGCAGTGACCATAGGAGGCACATATTCCTTGGAATTAGTGTTTTTACCTTCTTTGGATAAATACCAAGGAATGGGATGCTTGACCATGTGACAGGTCTATTTTGAGGAACCTTCATTTTTTTTTTTTTCTATAGGGCAGGACCAATGTGCTATCCATAGAAAAGAGAGGTTCCAGGTTACCGCCCTGCCCAAGGAAGGTGGGCTGAGCAGGGACGAGAAGCTAAGGAAGAGGAGGAAGACGTGGAGTGAGATGAGGAAAGGACTGGAGGAGGCGCATGGAGCAGAGAGACAGGTGAAGAAAAACCACACTTGCTTCTCACTTGGACTTGTGCCAGGGAGCTGGGGACTTGGAAAGAGACACGTGAAATACAAAAACGTGAATGAGAGACCCATCGGGAGGCTGACCCTTCCCATGGGTCCTACCAGTAGTAGGTGCCTTAGCCTTGTGGCAGGCCTTCGGGCCCCAGTGGGCCTGCTTTGGGCCAAGCCTGTTTGGCTGGGCATTTACCCATGAGGGACGGGTAACTTTGGGTGCTTCACTTGGGAAATATTCGAACTATATTCTTTCTCTTCTCTCTCTCTACTGCACTGATTCTCTATTTTATAGTAATTATATTAAAGTTCTTTTCCATTGAAGGTCTTATGCTTTAGAGTATGTTTTGTCTTTATGCAGCTGTTGGCAGATCCCATATAGAGTGTGCGGTTTTGAGGGCCAGGGAACCCCTCATTCTGCCCACTAACAGGATCAGACATCATTCCCACCCACCATGTGCCAGAGTTCCTTTTCTTCCACACCCTTCAATGCCATTCTCACAGTGTGAGGTGGTAAGTCATTATGGTTTCAACTGGCATTTTCCTGACCGCACATGACCAGCATTTATCCATGTACCTATTGGCCACATGTGTGTCTTCTTTAGAAAAAGTACCTATTTAGCTCCTCTGCCCGTTTTGAGTTGTTTCTTGTTTTGGAGTTCTTGTAGATTTGGATATTAACTCCTTGTTGGATTGATGATGTGCAAATAGTTTCTCCGATTTGATATTGTCTTGTCATTTTAATGCTAGTTTCCTTCACTATGTGGAAGCTTTTTAGTCTGATGTGATTCTATTGGTTTCTTTTTGCTTTTGCTTCCTTGGAGCACAGAAGGCATTATGGGCAGTGAAAACACTCTGCATGATATTCT